TAGAGAAAATTATATTTCATACTATCCGTCCTTTACTTGACCTATATTGTAGAATTGGAAAAGTATTGCTTTCGAATACCTAAAAATTTATTATCAACTCATCAAAATCAACAGAGCGACCACTATTTGACATTAAAGATATAGCTACTACCCTCTCCCCCACTTGTCATAAAAAAGAGTTGCGTTAGGTTAGTTAAAGAAGCTGATATTCGTGAGCCAAGAATAACACCGGTCGACATGATTTTTGGGTCCGACTTCGGCATGTTAAATTTCAGTTTCTCCTAGACTAAACTAAAGGAAAAACATTTTATTTTATTTAATTAGCTTCTGTAGGCATTTTTTTATTTCTTCTTTTATGTTCGTACGAGGAAAACAGACCTATTCGTATCAGGCTAACGCAAACTTGAAGAGCTAAAACTAATATTCCAGTGTTTTTCAAAATCTAGAATAGAATTTGAGCATGAAAAATTAAACCTAAAAAAAAAATGTTTTTTCATTGACCGGTGTAATACCACTTGGACAGCTAGAGACGCCTGTTCGTTGGGATTCCCAGAATCTCTAAGTGTAGATCAGAAAGATCGTCGCATATCGAAAAAGTGCTTTGAGCCTGCCAGCCAACCGAAATACTTTAACCTTAGTCTGACCAAAGTTGAACATTGGAAAAGAAAGTGTCTAAATATTTCCACCTCATCTTTCTGCATGCAACTTTGACAATTTGCTTTCTCAAAAGTATTGAATCTTACCTCGTTAGTGCCAATAGGACAGTCTCCAGTGAGTACTCCAACCATTGTGGCGAGATGAACCTTGCCAAGAGCAAGTACTTCAATATGTAAGGAGAGAGCAAGTCTCATGTCAGTTTGTGGCGGAAAAACCTAACTATTATTGGGTGCCTTACCTCAAATATTCGCTCTCATAAAAAGTTAAGAAACAGAGAGGAGATCACACTTATCTGTAGTATAAGAAGTTTTAACTTGTCAATGAACCTAGTAAAGTATTATGAACTAGAACTATAGTTATTTAGCGAAAAGAAGAACGTAGAACTCGAAAAATTTGCATTTATTTCTCGACCCAGACTCTTTCGCTAGCTATACTCTTTTGACTCAGCTATACGCCAACGTCTTTAGCCAGTTTTTTAATACGCTTTCTGGAGGTCCTCAAAGTAGACCACCGTTGACTAAAGAGTCAATATCCAAAAAATTACAAGCATTCGAAATTTTTTGTACACAAAGTTACTAATATTGTGACTCAACTGAAAATATTTTTTCGTGGACTGATATATACCGGGTCGTAGAGAGAAAACCAGGCCGCGGGGAAGTGTGAATTATTGGAAAAAAAATGACCAAAACATTGAAACGGAGTACCAGGCCCGGAATTTTCAAAATGCTCCGTTGTTCTCCGTACTCCCCCTCTGTCCTTCACTGGAAATGTAATTCAAAGGGACGCTTGAAGTTCAAAGAGTCCTTATAGCCATAAAATCATTACAAAGCTTGCGTAATGCATCGCGTAAAGATTATACGGATATGAAATAATAGATTTGATATACACCTAATCGAACTTTCATGAATATAATTTAATAAACTCAAACATATATGGAATAGGCACCAATATTAATATGTTCAATTTACATTGCTCACTCATAACATTTTGTGGCGGCTTTGTGCAAGGCTGTCTTCTAATATAGCGCTGTGCAGTTCTGATATGAATAATATTTATATATCTATGAATATATGTATAGTTAGACGTCATTGCGAGTGCTTGGCAATATATTTGAACCACGAATTTGACTTCTGTCATATATTACAATTTCAATAAAGCCACTCAAGAGCCTCGATAAGGACGTCGTAACATGGCATACACCGCACTCAAACATATGCAATATGCAGCAGGCTAACCGCAACCGACTCAACTCGATTTCGTATTTGAAGCTCACAGGATGTGACAAAACAGAAAGCACAAAACAAAACAAAAAAAAACCCACAAAAAAACATAACTGAAAATGGAATGCAAATGCAACTCAATACTCGCATATAGGTATATAGATGGTTATACAAGTATATAACTGAAAGTCCGACATATTGCTCGTGTAACCAGCTGACATGCATACATATACATCCACATATATATACATGGATGTGTGTGTATGTTCTGGTCATTTTAGTGCAACTATGAGCATGTTAATTATTTCACATATCCTGTTTTGTCGCAACAAGGATAACGTTCATAATGCACTTTGAGGTTTTATGACCACAACACAATTTTATATGCTGCCGCAATGTGACACACAACGACCGAATGCAGCGAACCAACACACGAACGTGCGACCTAACGACCAGACCAGCAGCATATACACGAATACAGATTAAGCCAAGTCGGCTGCTGTTGCTGCTGCTTGCGTACCTATGATATTGCAGGTCATTTGGCAGCTGCAAAATTGCTATCATTCCACAAATGTCCTTTATATGTACATACATCGACCGGCTCTCTCTATCAGCTCTACCACGCTCTCTATTACTCACTTGCCTGTATTGCATTTCTGATTGCTTTGGTGTGTGTATGTATGTGTGCGTTCATATTTTATTTCATATTATGACATGTAGGTTTCATATATACAACATTTGGTATTAAATCATCATCAAAAAATTCTGTGAAATGCATTTTCATTATTATTATGAAATTCGTAGAAATATTACAAAAATACTTGACAATTTAATCATTTTAATGCAACGGACAGTTGACAAATCTGTATTCATAAAAACTGCAAGTATATTAATACTTTATTTCAGCAAAAAAGTAGTTAAGTTAAGTGGCTTTAAATGAGAATTCAATTATAAATAAATAAATCAATCGTTTGCGCGAGCTGTTCTTCTTTACTGGTATCACACTGGTTTTAATTTTGGCTTGAGTGCTTTTGAAGCAAAAATTTACTCAAAAATTTTTTTGTACAAGTATGTTTTGCCATAAAACTCCTATTTAATAGATCATAATGCCCTTACAAATCGACAAATCACTGTGAGGCAATTACAATGTTCAGATGGCTAATGTCAGCTTCTGCTATATCTAACAGTTCACCGAAAGTAAAACTGCCAAGATGTTTCAACCTCAATCTTGCAATGGTTGGATAATGGAGGAGAAAGTGCTAAGATGTTTCCATCTCACCCTTCTCCATACAACTTTAACAACTTGAGTTCGTCAAGATTTTTAGTCTTAGCGCATGAATGCATATCGAACAATGTCCAGTACGAACCTATACGATTGCAGCAAGATGAACTTTGCTAGGGGCAAGTAGTTCAGAAGATCTCCCGCATTCTGCTCTAGGCCAAAGGATCTTGCAATCGCACAGGAGCGAGACGTCGACCAGCGCCTGCTAAGCGCACGCTAGATTCATTGGCCTAGTGCTAGAACCTTAAATGCCAATGGAGATTCAACTTGGTCCCATTCCGATGCGAGCGGTGTAAGGGTGCCCCCTTTGTCTAGCTCTTTAGCTTTGTAGTTGTGAAGTAGCTTGATGTTATTTCTAGTGAGGACAGACACTTCTTGACTAGCTTTAAGCGCACAATTAACGCGCTCAGTGCTAGTATTTCCTCACTGCTGTCGACGTGAATTTGAGAAAAACATGTACAGTAGCATTATTCAAATTATTAAACGTCTGATGCTATAACATTTCTTCATCAATATGGCAATTTGTAGATTCCATCACAAAAAACCAATGCCGGATTGGTGTCTAAGAATTAATCAAGCCAATCTTTAACACCCTGTTCTGATGAGAGCGTACTTCACTGAGGGCTTCTGTAGCGAAACAAAAGCAGCCAGAAGAGCCACGGTCTGAGCTATAAGGCAGATTAGGCAAAACTTACCAGCCGCTATTTTACAAATAGTTTTTAACCAGTTGAAAGAAGCCGATCGTGAAAATCATGAAAAATTATTATCACGTCTCTAGTCACGAATACCGGGCGTTTTTCGGCCGCTTTCGGTCGCTTCAATTTGATGTGCAGTAGCGTTTTTTTGTTCAGCGATAAAACTCACTTTTGGTACCCAGTTAATAAACAAAAATGACGCATTTGGAGCGTTGATAATCCTCGAGCTATTGTTGAGACGCCGTTACATCCTCCGAAGGTCACTGTTTGGTATGCTCCATGTGCAGAGGGACTCATTGGTCCATATTTCTCCAAAAATTAAATTTACAAAAAGTTTTCGAAAATTGGCCCTCTGAGCTGGAACTAATTCGAACCAACCGCGGCGGTCACTTGCCCAAACTCATGTTTAAAACATAATCGCACACTCTTATCTTTATATTAAAGCTATATTCTTGGTCATAATATTAAATTATATTCGCTTTATTTCTTCTCGAAAACCACATGTTTAAAAAAAGATACCCTTTATTATTTTTCTGCAAAGCAATACTCCTTAATTAAAAATTTAATTTATTAAAAAAAATAATTTAATACTAAAGAGCGTGAGCATAGAATTTTCGAATCGATGACGTCTAGATATTATAAAGAGAAAGAGCTCTTCGGTGCATTGTTGCAACTGACAGCACTTTGTTTGATTTTTGTACCAACCATATCTACCCCTTTTCTTGGAATAATATATAGAGCTAAACTGTTATAAAAATTTTTTCGAAGTAAGCAATATTTTTGCTGATTGGATTCCATATAAGTCGAAAAAAGACGAAATATTAGTCCTAAAACCGGAAATACCCATACAAGTATATATGCGATATTCTTCAGTGAACTTCGAAGAAAACTCAGGTTTTACAATATTTAATGAACTTCTTTAATATCGATTTATAAATTATTAGAATAAAAAACAATCAAAGTTATCGATCTGCTTCAAAAAATTCATGTATCCAACAACAAAATCCTCCTCTTAGTTTAATATAGCTGTATGCTTGATGATGTACAATAATAGATTATTAGATAGACATAAAACATTTCCTACAATATTTAAACTACTATTATCTATTTATCTAACATTTACTTTTCCATAATTCTCTTACACAGCGCCAATTTGGTAGCAGTCGCCACACTCCGACCCGGCGCGCCCGATCATATGCGTAAAGAGTTTCGCAACAAGGCGAAACAGCTCGCCCGCCTCAACGATCCGAATGTGGCGCATTTACTTGGCGCCTGTCTGCGTGATGAGCCCATTTGCATGGTGTTCGATTACTCGGAATGTCTGGGTGACTTAAATCAATTTCTGCAGGAGCATGTAGCCGAGACGACGCATAGTCTACAAGCGGGTATTATGACAAATAAGAGCTTAAGGTGAGTGAGTGTGCTGTAAAGTGATGTTGAGTGAATGGATGGAATGCCATTTTAAGATTCTGCGTTAACACTTACTACATTTCTGACAGTTTAAAATACTAGAAATGTTGGGAGTTTCAGAAATTTTGAGCTTAAATTGGATTTATTTTATTTTAACACTGTGCATAACTTTTTTGATAATTTGTGCAGAAGTTTTTTACAACATTGATATATCTTGATAAATACCAAAAGATTGAAGTTTTTTTATAAGTACCAAAACATAGAAATGTCAGTCTGCAGGGGTGTGCCGCCACCAGACTGTGACCAGTGACTGTTCCAAGCATGTCCTTACAGTTCTTTCTCTCAAGAATGAGTAGGAACTATGTGTATTTTTATTCTACTGCTTTTCAAATGACTACTGGCAAGGCCTCCCAAGTCGGTGAGGTCGCAGAAGAGTTCCGAAGCTAAAAAAATACACATAATACAAACCTTCTGCGAGGATGATTGTAGCAACTGTTCACATAATAGTGACGGCTATAGCGGGCGTCTGCCTTGGAACATGTGGCACGCGTTATTAAAGTATATATTTTTATGGCTGGTTTATAAGTCAAGGTAGCAACACCACCAACAAACTAGGAAACCTGGGCTAAACACCTATTTTTCTGATTATACTGAATTACTGAAACCAAGAAGAAAGTAAAGAAGAAAAACGAAAAAACAACGTTGACGATCATAATGAGCATATAATGGTACTCTATATACCAAGGAACGAGCAATATGCAAGCTTCATTAATTGAGTTTAATTGGAGAACAAGAACGTTCGGACTGTATTGGTATTGAATGACAAACTCTAGTTAAGCATTCTAGATCTGTTGCCAATATTCACAAGCAGCTTCGTGTACAGTACTGATTTTCTCATAACTTTAGTGCTGAAAACTTACTTTGATATTCTATCCTAAAAACACTTCTAGAAATAATTACCTTATTGTAAAAGAAATACTCGTATATAACACATAAATTGAATTCAAACTAAAACAATAAGAAACGATAACTTCGGCAGCACCGAAGCTATAATACCCTTCATATACGCATTTCATATAGCATATAAGGGCATAAAAACATCGTTTTGGTGATTTTAAACTGGTCAATTGGTACGACAGTTATTCGCTGTAGTGGTCCGCTGTAAAAAATTTTTTCGCAGACTGTATTCTTGCACAATAACCCTTGCCAAACTTTGTGACAATATCTTATGAGATAAAAAAGTGTTCCGTATAAGGACTAGATTTAGATGAGTCAGTTTGTATGGCAGCTATATACAAAGTGGTTCGACATCGTCGGAGAACGTATGCAAAATTTCGGTCGACATATATATATAAACTGAGAGACTAGCTCACGTACATACAGACAGACGCCATGTTCGTCTGACTAAGATCGTCACGCTAATCATTAATACCGATTTTTCCAATAGAGATGATACGATTTCTAAGTGTCGTTTCGGCCACTTTTAATAGGCCATGATCTGTAATTTTTTTTTTTATTGTATTCACTAGTGTTTAAAATTTCATTATGAAGAGATATATGCAAGAGCAACCATTACAAATTATTCAATTTTATTATCAAAAATATAATCGTTATCCAATTGCAACTTTTCCTGTGCTTTTGCCATTTTATGGTCTTAATAATCGTCCACCTGTGCTCGCTATTCGTCGAATACATAAACAAAACTGTCGATTCTGGTGCGAGGAAAATCCGCAACTTATACATGAACAACCAATACATTCACCTAAATTGACAGTTTGGTGTGGTTTTTGGTCTGTTTTTTGGTTCTTCTGTCTGTCTGAAGCTGATGACACCGTTACTGTCAATGGAGTACGGTTGAGATCGATGATAACCAACTTCTTATGGCTGGAATTGGAAGAAGTTGATCTTGACAACATCTGGTTCCAACAAGACGGGGCTACGTGCCACACAGCATGAATTTTTGCGAGAAAATTTTGGAGATTCGATAACTTCAAGAAATCGTGACATTGAATGGCCTCCAAGAAGTTGTGATTTAACACCATTAGATTACTTCTTGTGAAATTTTTTGAAGTCATTGGTCTTTAGCAATAAACCAGACTCTCTTCAAGCTTTAGAAATCAATATTGAACATGCTATTCTTGACACACGACTTGATTTAGTGGAAAAAGTACTCGAAAATTGGGATCGAATTCCTTGCATCAAAAAAAGTCGTGGACGCCATTTGAGTGACGTTATATTCAGAACTTAATCGTATTGATTGTGCTTCTGCTAATTAAAAAAAAATAAGATTTTCCTTAACAATTAGTGATCATATCACTCTTATTAAAAAGTCCTATATACACATATATGTATATACATTTCAAAGGTCTTCGAAATTTGCTGCTTGTTGTCTGGCTGTTAAAAAATATATTCAGTGTGTAATCATATAAAACATTACCGATTATGTCTGAGCTTAACATACTTGTACGATATATTTTAAACAAGAAACTCACAACTGAAGTATCAAAAATATCTTAAGCTGTAAACGCACCAAACTAACTGTAAATGTCACCACACACATGCAATTTATATATAACCAACATAACCTCAGCAAAATATTTAACAAACTTTTCATTTCATTTCTCTTTTTACATCCTTTGCGCTTTATCTTGTTTCCGACTTCCGTTTGGCTGATGATGACGACGACGACAACAATAACAACGTTGACACATTCAACGACTTCCACACCGTGCGGCGTCTGCAAAAATAACAACAACAACATAAATAACACAACAAATGTTGAAAATATTTTTGGTCGCCACTGCCACTGATTACCGAAAAAACACCATAACAACAACAAACAACATAACTGCCAACAAACGCCGGCAAACGCAATAATGATCATTCGCATTATTATTAATTTTCCTGACTTGTCTTGCCACGCTTCCGGTCTCGTGTCGATAATTTTCACCAAACAAATATATGTGGCATAATGTACAACAAAACGACCAACAACAATGTTACAACGGCACACCAACAACAACATCATCATCATTGTAAACTCCGACGTCAACGTTACCGGCATTTTGCTTCGTCTCAACTTTGTTGCTTTGTTGGGCAACGTACACTTATGTTGTTGTTGTGGTTGGGTTGCCTTATCTGCTGTATTTATGTGTGTATATGTGTGTGTTGGATTGATGGCGCAAAACTTTTTACATGCTCGTCTAAAAACATAAATACACACACACACGCATTCACAACTAAAATGTCTCCCCTCACCCAACGTGGCCATGCGTTGTATGCCAAAATCCAACTAAAACTTGGGGGATAATAATGCCGCTGATTATTGCAATACATACATACATGTATATTAATATATATATATATATATATATATATACAGTTATGGCAGCTTGGTGTACATAGCCACGCAAATTGCATCGGGCATGAAGCATTTAGAGCAAATGAATTTCGTGCATCGCGATCTGGCAACAAGGTAAGTGGCAACAATTATACGCAAAGTTAGATATGACATGCTTACGTAGGTAGGTAGAGTGGCTATCTAATGACGCACCTAGGCCATTATGATACCACCGGAAAAAAGTGGTAAAGTGCCCTCACTTTATTTCTCTATACATTAGTGCGGAGAAAAACAAAACTTTTAATATTTTTCCTTAAATACCGTGAAAATATCGTCGAAAAAAACATTGAATGAATTAAAAAATTTGTTCGCAGTTTATACCGCTGTCTTGGACAATAGATTAGGTTACATTATAGGTACGTAGGTAGGTAGGAGTGCTGCCACCATATTCTCAATTAGCGCTGAATGCGCCATTTTGTTACACTGTCGTGGGACCTTATATGGTAATTTTGTTATCGCGTTTTATCGTTGCGCTCAAACTTTTTGGTGCTCTCAATGAACTTACTTATACCCGTTAAGCTTTTTGAGGACAGCCATTCAAGGTTTGGTGCCTGATTGGTACCAAGTATTGTGTGTCGGGTATGTGACTAGGCCAACAACCGCCCTGCAGTCTTTTTAAGACCGTGTGCGCTAAAAGCGTGCGTGTTTATCCTCGGGGCTCTTACACTTAATCTTAGCGATCCTACATGACATAAGCCATTCCATCTCACCCTGAGCCATCTGTTCCTTTCGGAATTTTCCTTATGTATGAGAAAAACCTTAACTTCAAACAAATCTTTTTAAAATTTTAAAAACTAATTTTTACAATTTTCCACATTATTTCACTAAATAATACCATTTTTTGACCCATCCTAATATATACTTATACATATATGTACTCACCGCCACTTTCCAACAAAAATGTGCGCTCACCCTAAAAACAAGCGCACACAAATCTCTCCGCCCTATCTCCAAGCCAATGAAGCCGAAAGGAAAATGTTGAAGTTGGCAACTCGATTCCATTCAGCAAAAACCATTTTGTGGTTGAATGTTTTGAGTTTCGACATTTCAAAATCGCACTTACATTGAAAACTTTTCAAATTTGCAATTTCACAAAAAATAGTAAAACAGTAACACACACACACCTACAAGAGCACGACTTTAAAATAGAGACAGAGGAAATGCTGTCATCAGTGGCGGCGTCGACGGCTTCCAGAAACTTTGTGTGAAAACTTAATTTTTGTGGTGTAAAATCGTTTGGAGCAAACTACAAGCAAAGTATTTGCACTTTGTGAATCTCAATCGCTAAGCAGCTATATACACGAATATATACATAGGTGCGTGTGTGTGCCTGTGTGCATGCTCACCGGTGTTTGTGCGGAAATTAAATTCGTACTAAAAGCGTTGATAAACGAGATGATGCAGCAAATATTCTTCTTATTTTTTGTTAGTGTCATTTAACTTTTTGTTATTGTTGATTTTTTTTTTCAAAAAAATATTACGAAAATTTTCGTATTAATATTTGAAGTTTTCGCAAAACTTGAAGAATAAAGGAAGCTTACCTACTTTTTTAAAGAAAAAAACACAGAAAATTCAAATTCATTGGGGAATGTTTATTATCATTCGAAAGAACATTCTTTGGCATTTATATTTTAATATTGAAATGTTGGCGACTACGTCTCAGATGGTCCATGCGGTGAGTCCAATTTTCGATGACTCGTTCGAGCTTTTCGACTGGTTACGCATAATGTTTTGCTCCAAAGCCTGAATTGAAGCGGAATTGTCCGCATATAATTTAGACTTCACACACCCCCACAGGAAAAAGTCTAACAGTGTCATATCCCACGATCTTGGTGACCAATCGACCGGGCCAAAACGTGAAATTATCTGCTCATCGAAGTGTTCTCTCTGTAAATCCGTTGATTAATGCGATGTGTGGGAAGTGGTGTCGTCTTGTTAAAAAAAATGTGGCCGCGATCATGAGTTTCAATTTCATGCATCAAATAGTTGGTTATCATGGCGCAATAACGGTCGCCATTCACGGTTACTTTTTCACTGGTATCATTTTTGATGAAATATGGACCGATGATACCAGCGACCCAAAAACCACACCAAACCGTTGTTTTTCTGTATGGAATGGCAGCTCTTGTATCTCTTCATGTTGCTACCCATTGAGCCAGAAGTGAGCCTCATCGCTGAACAAAATTTGCTTGAAAACGTCGGATCTTCTTCTGGAACTTTTCAAGTGCCCATAAAGCGAAGCGATGTTGCTTGGGAAGATCGAACGGCTTCAGTTCTTGTATAAGCTGTATTTTTTTACACTTTCAGTTTAAGATCTCAACGTAAAATGCGCCAAGTCGTTCCATACGTCAGTCCGAGTTACTGCGAACGGCATCGAATGATTCTCCACGGCCTTCGTGTATACACGGCCGCTATATTTTCTTCACTGCGTTCTGGACGTGGTCTATTCGGTCGAATATTATCCAATAATGAATGCAGGGTCTCAAGATGGGTGATGGTGTTGCGAATGGTACACTCAGTAGGCCGAATATATTGACCATAAGTTGAGCGAAGCGCAAACGTGAATTTTCGAAATAAAGTTGAACGATTTGTAAACGTTGTTCAGTCGTAAATCTTTCCATGATAAAATTTAAAGCAATACTGAATAAAAACAACGTGACAGCTTGACACGACTCACGCGAGATCTGTCAAAAAACGGCTCTTGGAAAAGGTAACTCTACTGGATCACCAGTCATATTATTTAGTTTTGTTGTTTAAGGGCTTTTAATAAAAAATGTCGATTATTTTTAGATTAAGCAAAGTTAAATACCATTTATTATTTACCTTTATTCCACTTCCATAGCAATCTTCATTTTCAGCCTCAAAATAATTCGCCATAGGCATGAGCAAGTAGTAATCAATTGGTGCCAGGTTCTTACTATAAGGTTTTTGCACTAGATTATTGTAACCATGTTTTCGAAGCTTTTGGCGAGTCACTATCGATGTGTGTGATATTTACTTGATGGAAGACCACTCCTCTCACAGATGGCCGCTTCTAGGTAATAGCTTTCGTCATATGGTCCAATTTTTGACAATAAAAGAGCTTTAGCGGAGCAATTCATTCTAGATGATTTCCGACCAGCAACCCTGCCTTGACCACCGTTTGCGTCGGTTCTACTCGATTCGACTAGAGCCGTTTTCGCTTGAGGTTGTCAAGAGTGACTAACTTTTCATCACCAATAACCATCCGGTTTAGAAACATATTGAGTTTTTTCCGATTCAGTAGCAATTGGAAATTCAGTCCATGAGGTCCGCGATCGTGTGACACCCATACAACACACTTCTTGTGTTAACACACTTCTTGGTTGAAATACGCTAGACTTAGCTGGTCCTCAGCGGGTTTTTGTGCAATGTTTAGCTCTCGGATAATCGAAACAATACTTACATCAAGGTATATACAATATTACATATTTTCGACCGTCAAACTTCGATTGGCCTTCGATAACGAGTTGCATCTTTGACATCGAAATTACCAGAATGGAACGGTTTCGACGAAACCAAAGTTACGAGTGATTGAATAATGTAACAGTATCAAGACCATATATACATATTATTCACATTTGCAGCCACCTAGCTTGCGTTTACATCTTTATCGAATCAAAAATTTAAAATATGGTGTATTTTTTTTCGCTAGTGTTCATTTTTGGCGCTTACTTAAACGCAAAACTGTCTGAGAAGTTTTTTGCTAAACCATTTATTGGAAAAATAATTAATTCCGTTTTACTAGGTCTTATATGTTTATATAAACTATATATTAATTCAACAATTTCAGGTATAAACACTTTTCAATTAACCTCAACAAACATATTTTCTAAAAGAGTAGAATATATTCCAAAGACCCAAGACGAGTTTACCACATAAAGGGTATTTTTTGGACTTAATGCTTTCAAGAAAAAATAAAACGTATAAATCATGACTCCATGGGTTTTCCTCCAAAGCGTTGACTATAACATTATGGCTGGCTTCATTTTTGAAGAAATATGGACGAATGATGCCCCCTGCCCATAGAGCACACAAAACAATGACTTTTGAGGATCTAACGGCACCTCAACAATAGCTTGTGTATTATCATCACTCCAAAGGCGAGAATTTTGTTTATTAGCATACCCATTCAACCAAATGTGAACGTGATTTGGTAAAAAATGTTCACAACTTTCACAACTTATTCCGAAGTAAGTCTGTTTCATATGAACACAAAAAATTGTATATCAATGAAAACCACACTTATTAAAAAATATCTCTAATAAGTTAGGAAACCAGGCTTAGAAATAGTTAATATTAGACCATAAAATATAGTATTCCATTAGTTTTCATTTAAGTAAATTATTATTAAAATTATTATTAAAATCGTTATATTTTACTCTCATTTACCTATGGGAAGGTCTCTAAGTGTAAGCTAGTATTTTCGTGTGCTACTCTATACATACATCTAACATGCAGAAGCCCTCAAAAGGATTCACATAAAAACTAGTTTAGCTATAAATATAATTATAATCCATATGACGGGAGTTAAATGACTTCACCGGTTGTCTACGAGTTATTTGTATAAATGTTTTATCCATAGGTTGAAAAAAATCCTGCTAATATAAAATATATAATTCGAGAATGGAGTTTGGAATTCTAATAAGTTGCAAACTCTGTTTTATTTAGTAACTTTTAGTATCTCCTCATTACCCAAAATTTACCAGGTGTCAGATAGCAAATTTATGTACATGTGTTATGTAACAAAATCTCACAAGTCCAGAGAAAGTTCTGAGAAAAGATATATATATATAAGTTTCCAGTGCTATATCGCTTCGTAGGGGTAGCTTATTTTTACATACTTATATGTAAGCTTTAATTACATATATCCTAAATAGGGCATATTAAGTGTGCCACGAAGTTTGTAACAGCCAGAAGTAATGGTCGGAAACCCTAAAGAATATATATGTATGGTATATAAATGATCAGCTGAGTCGATTTAGCAATGTACGTATGTCTGTGTGTACGTGAACTTGTCGCTTAGTTTTTGGAATATCGCTCTCACATCCTTCTCA